TTTTGTTGAATTATTTAATACATTGTTAAAAAATGGACAATGAGCTGATATGATAGATGCATGTGCATGAACCTCTTTAATGTTTGGTTCTATGCCAACATATATTTTTACATCATAAAAATCTTCTGTATTTAATAATCTTTCATTTTCATTAAAATATTTTTCAAATACCAAATACATTTTTTCAAAAAAATATAAAAATGAAAATGAATGGCCAATCCATGTTACAATTGAAAATAAAAATCTCAAGTCATGTGTCAAGAATTGTAACCCCAAATTATGCATAATAATAACGCTTGCAATATGGAATAAAGATCTCTTTAATTACAGCAATATTTACAAGATCGAAATTGAATAATTAATAATTATATTAAAAAAAAAAAAAAAAATAAATCCATTAAACCAAAAAAAAAATCAGCTACTTTAATAAATGTCTTACTCTATGTTTAAGTCCAATATTTAATTTGTTTTCATAAACATCATCATCATTTCCATCATTATAACTAACTATAAAGATCATTTTGTGGTTTCAAATTATTGAAATGTATTACTTGATAGATTGCTTTGTTTTTTTTTTTTTTGGACCTATTTAATATTAATTTTCATCAATCTTAAAAATAAATATCATCATTCCAATGTACTGGATTGTAATCACCAATTAATACACCATTTTCTTTAATGTCCATAATTAAAGCCCAGAACGAGCCGAGCCGAGTTTATGCTTAACTCGAGCCCGACTCGAGCTCAAATATGCGAGTTCGAGCCAGCTCGCATATAAAAAAATGCTAGCTCAAACTCGGCTCGAACTCGAAAACTCGAGTCGAGCCGATCCAGAGCCGAGTTTGAGCCAACTCGAAATTTAATGTTATTTTTTTATAAAATCACGATTTTGCGGGCCACTGAAAATAATTGAAGTAATAATAAACTATAATAATTTGTATAAGTTTAGAACATTTAAATCATCATAAATAATTTTATGACAGACTAAAAAATTACGAAAATTTCGAATGAGAACAATGCTTTTTAGGTTCTGGAATATATGCACAAGAAATTGCATTATACTAAAATTATTAATCACGGTTCAATGAATTTTATGTTTTAAAAATTCATAGTAACGCGAATTTAATTGAAACGACACTGTATAAAATTTCACAATGTTTGCTCAGATATTTGTAGAGAATCAAAACGAATGCAACTTGTTTAAAAAATCTTTATTATGAGCTAGAGTTCCTATTCGTAATACAACTCAATTAATTCGAATTATTAGTTTTATTGGTTTATTTTATTTGTTTATTCGTTTATTTTATTCGTTTATTCGTTTATTTGAATTATTCATTTTTATTTTATTCGAATTATTTGATTCTCTCAAATCATTCGTTTTATTCGTCTATTCGAATCGTTCGTTTTATTCGCTTTACTCCTTAAGTTGAGCAGGCTCGAATTAAAACTTGAATTTTCAAGTTCGAGCTGAGTTCAAGAAAATAGGCTCTTAAATTGTTTTTTAGGTAATGTGCATAAATAAAATTAATCATTCGTTACTTAAAAAAATTTATGTGGCGTCAGACTTGAGCCTATTATTTCTTGGCTCGGCTAGGCTCGTTCGGAGCTTTATTCATGATGGTTTACGGTTTATTCAACATTGTTACATTTTTCCTCAAAAACTAATGTAGATTAGAGCTTGGATCCCAAAGATAACCAACCATCAATTAAAGTCCCTAATAATCTTTGGGATATTAATTTAAATATCTAAATACTTATTATTATTATCTTTTAAATTATAGCAATCCAGATATCATATCTGTTTAAATTATAGCAATTCAGATATCCCATCCAGGAATTTTAAGAGGATATCCGTTTATCAAAACTCTATCTGGCTCTATTGTAGATCTGCAAAGCACCAGTTTGTATCTGAGATATATTATTTGGATCATATGTATTATCATTTTCATTCTAATCAGCAAGAAATAATGAGTTTTGATTGTGTTTCCCAGCTCCTGTTCTTAGACTATATACTTCGGTTTCTATATATATATTGGATTGATAATATCAGTCCATTAGATCTATTGGCATATCATATTAGCATTTTATTAATGCCAATAGACCAGATCAAAATACATAAGCTTCAACCACTACCAACTCTGGATAATATTGAATGATTTCATGATATAAATTTGTTTTAAAAATTTCTTTATATGGTTGCAATCCTTTCATTAAAATCATTTTGGGAGCGTCATAGAATCTTATTACCTCCATTTTTTCGTAATTTTATTAATAAACCATTTTAAACCTTTTAGGAAATTCAATTTCTGGTCCGACATATTGAATTAATAAAATACTAAATATGGTTAATGCAATATGCCAATAACTGGTCAATAATTAACTGAATATTTTAATATCTTTATTATAAAATTATAAATAACTAATCAATAATATTGCTGGTATAGTACTTGATGCACTTAATCTCATGAAGGTTAACAACCTGGCGCAAGTTTATATAAACTTGCGAGAAATAGTTGCTTCGTGGCCAACAAAACTGGACTAATGATTATTATAATAACAAATATTGGTAATTAACTTTTTTATTTTCATTGTATTTTAATTTGATGGCGCGAATAAATTTATAAATAAAAGAATACAATATTCAGCAAAATTAGATTATATAAAGCCACAAACCTAATACATTTAAGTGCATAAAAATCACCGTCCAAATTGGTACTCGTAATCAAAATAATAAATTATATGGTTGAATATAAATAAAATTACCAAAATTATCGTTTGATTTGACAAATAAAAATTCATCCTTACATCATAGTTTCGTTGCAGTTCTCTATTAACATTTTCCCTTCAATAATCTCTCTATAGAACAATAATTTTGTATAAAAAGATGACTTATGTCTTGTTGAACTTTTACGTCTTTAAATCAACGACCAATCAATAGTTTTATCCCAAAAAGATGTATTCTCGGGATTTGCCATAGCTTAATTGACAAAATAATGAATTGAATGAATCTTTAAAAGGACTTATGTGTGCCTGATGTTTTGACGATAGTTTGAAAAGAAGGAACCCTCACTATTTCCAATCACATAAAGTAGTCTCCTCTCACTTTTGAGCTATTGTGTTTTGTGTTTATTTTTCCATTAAAATTTTTAACAATATTAACAAATTGTCAATTTAAATTATTATCAAAGATCCAAGTTAAATGAAAGTTGTCAATAAACAAATAATATTATTTGTGCTGTTGAATCGGCATAAAAAATTTTTTTTGCGGAGCGCCAAAGTTCTTAAAATGTTATTATGTCAGTCAATCTGCCGAGGAGAATTTTTAATTTATTTATTTATTTTTATATAATTTATTTCATTATAATGAAAAGCAATGTTTAAACAGCCCCAATTTTCAAACAATTAAAGCTGCATTGTCATATTTTATTTATTATTATTTATAATGATGATTTTCTTTGTATTATTTGTTATAATAAGGATTTAAAAACAATGTAAAATTCAAAAAGAATTTTTTTAGGTAAATTTTTTGACAATGAGAAATATGGGGTTGGGTTGATAGAATGAATATATATATAATTAATTATTGAATAGTGTAAAATTTCACGTTTCACGAAATTAAAATGATTGTATTTATCAGGTTATACTGTATATTAATATATTAAAAGATTTTTTATTTATTAAACCTTGATCGTTTAAACAGCTTCTTATTTTGTTTTATGAACTTAAGCTCAAATATCTGACCATCTATGATCTGTGGTATCAAATGAAAAATATTGAAACATTTAATTATCCAAAAAGCAATTTTTTAATTGAATGTAATAAAAGACCGGATCTCTTTGTTTCGCCATTAAAAAACGTGTTCGACGTAGCGAATTACATACTTACATATTTGTAAATATAGAATCGGTATAAATTGTTCGTGAAAAGCATCCGACCGCTCTCTAATGAAACTTTAAATCTATATGCAAATTGACATGTTTACTTAATGCACTAAGCCAGGTTTGGTTAATACAATTTGATATGCATAATTAAATAATAATAATGTGAATCTATCCGATTTTTTCATGGTTCCCTTTGTTATATGAAACGATTTTATTAGAATTTTCGATTGCCAAGATTTTTGGAAAATCGTTCTAATTGTTGAAAATCACAGAATTTTTTAGTCGAGAGGCATTGTTATGGAGTGAATATGGTTATTTCATATGGTTTTTTGGAAGTTGTAATAAACCAAAAGTGTCACAATAAAAAATGAGTTTTTTACACCATTAGCATTTTCATAGCCATTAAATCTCTCCGTAACTATATACTATTGTCTATATACTGCTTTTATGTAAACTTGGTATCCGTAATCTTTGAAAATGGAGGAAGAGTAATAATTCGAAAAAGTGCTTTTTACCAATGTTTGGAACTCCCGATTGCTAAGGCTTCTGAAAGTCGTTCTGTTTGTGAAAATATTAAAGGTTTTTGGCCGTAAAACACTGCTATGGAGAGAACATGATTGTTTTTAGAAGTTATAATAGAGCAAAAATATTATAATAAATGAATTTTCGTTGTATTTTAAATGGATTTTTTATATCATTAACATTTTTGTGCCATAAAATTTCTCCGGATCTCCTTATACCACTACTTACATTATTACATTTCATGCAAATTTGGTATCTACTGTATATCTTTGAATGAAAAAATAATAATTTGAAAACAGAAAATTCCGTTAATAATATGCCGATCACAAAAAATCACATATGACTGATTTAGAATGTTGAAGGCGTAACGTTTTCAAAAAGGATCGTCAGGTGGTCGCTCACAAGTTTTTTTAATTTAAATTTCATATTAATTAATATATATAATAAATAAATAATAATGGTTAATTTCATAAAACAATTTGATGCAACATACTTAAACAATTATCGATTATGGATTGTTAGTTAATAATTGTCGATAAAAGAATACAATGAAATATGATTATATTATTATATATATAACAATAGCCTTTTTCTAAAATGTTTGTGTCGTCATCAAATGAGGCTTTTTATATTATAAAACGTATAAAATAAATTATATAAATAAATATCCAATTGTTCTATACTTGATATATTTTATATTTTCCTTGATATAATTTTCCAAGAAAAATAAAATTTTAATATTTAAAAAAAAAATGCTTGAAATTTTAAATAAAAATCTTAAAATTCAATCAACAACAACAACACAACACGATCAAAATTATCACTATGATGTATTAATCAAGGCTGGTGAAAAACTTCAAGAATTATTTGCACATTCAAGAATTTTATGTGAACGATCGCCTTATTTCGAGGCTGCGTTATCATCAACTTGGGCAAAAAAAGAAGACGGAAAATTTGTTATTTTGAAACCAAATATTTCTTATGCAACTTTTTCGATAATAATAAAGTAAGAAAAATAAAAATAATCACGTTAATAAATTGGTTGGTTGATTTATTGATCAATATTAACTTTAACAAACTTGGTTAATTTCTTTTTCTTTTTTTCATTTTTTAATATGTTAGTTTTATATATACTAATAAAGTTGATCTAAGTCAATTCAATGGACCACAAGTATTGGAAATATTGGTGGCTTCAGATGAATTACTAATTTTGGGCGATTTAATTTACCCTGCACAAGATCATCTTATACAAAATGAAGCAAAATGGATCGAACAAAATCTTTTGACGGTGTTCAATATTGCGTGCGAGCATGAAGAATTCCAAAAATTGCAAGATTTTTGTTTGGAAATAATCGGATGGGAACCATCTATTATTTTTAAATCAAAAGATTTCTACGATTTATCAGAATATGTTTTATCGATAATTTTAAAGCAGGATTTCTTACAAATTAGCGAAATCGAAATTTGGGATCATTTGATTAAATGGGGAATCCACAAATCAAAATTTAGCGACTTGGATAACGATATTAATTATTGGGATTTAAAAAAAGAGGATTTATTTGAATTGGAAAAAATTCTACATGATTTAATACCTTTGATTAGATTTTTGGAATTTAATATAGATGATTGCTGCGAGAAAATCAAACCATTAAAAGATATCTTGCCATTAGAAATCAAACATGAATTATGGAATTATCACAAATATCCTAAAAGTGAATTGGATCACATTCTACCAATCAGAAGCCCGATCTTAAATAATTTCGAATCAAAATTACTTAATCGAGATCAGATCAATAAATTTAAAAAATTCATCTACAAAAATGACGATTTCAGTCAATTACTTCCAAATAATTTTAACAAGGATACCTCACGACTAAAATTCAATCTTAGATTGTTGATACGAGGTAGTCGAGACGGACTTTCACCAAAGAAATTTCATCAATTATGTGATAATAAAGGTCCGAATATAGTAATCATGAAAGTAAAAAAAAGTCAACAAATAATTGGTGGTTATAATCCTGTAGGTTGGTTTGGTAAAGGCATTAAATGGAGATATACAAAGAAAGGTTTTTTGTTTAGTTTTGGCACTCCAGAGAAACAAGAATTCCTCATTAGTCGACCCAAGCAACGCTCATCACACTATACAATTTATGATGATCCAAATGCAGGTCCAAGTTTTGGCATAAATGATCTTCGATTCTATAAACAATTTAATAGCGAGAGTAATAATTGTTGTGCAATACCTACCGTCTTTGAGACAAAGATTATCAACGAGACTGAATTTGTGGTTGAAGATTATGAAGTTTATCAAATTTATTTGGATTCCGATTTGAAAAACCTAGGTACTTAAATTGGTGGTGATGTTGTTATTTTATAATATTTATATTAATTTTAATTAAATGTTAAATCTTAAAAATTTAAATTTTTTCGATTATAGCTTTACCTCTCGACTTCTATACTTGGTTTCGTTTATGGGGTTGTTTATAACTTTTTTTATTTAAATCATTAATAGTCGCAAATTAATGGATGTATTTAATTTATTAATTTTTTTGTAGATAGGACAATTTTTTAATTTTATTTTAATATATGTAAAAATTTATACAATTTTTTTTTTGTATTTGTAAAAAAAAATCAAATAATAATAAAATAAAAAAAAATATATAAAAAATTTTTTTTACTGTTTTTGGGTGAGATCATTTTCCTTGTAAAGTAAGCATATATATATTTATATATATTAATTATATATTAATATATATATATATATCCCACAGATATATTTTTTTACTCACAGTAAAATGAAATTTTTTTAATAAAGTTATGTTCTAGTAGATACAATAAAATAACAAAAGGAAAAAAATAGCACTTGAGAAAGTCTTGAAGTTGAATATAAATATTGATCTCAAGATAATTTAAACAGCACATTTCTAAATTATTCACTGTTCATTATACTCATTACTGGGGACAAAAAGAATGAATAATCTAGCAATGCAAAGTTAAGCAGGGAAGGAGGTGAAAAAGTTTCGAAAGATTAGTCTTTCAATTTAATTGCTTACTTCTAATTGACAATATTTAATTCTACAAAAAGACTATTATTAAACCTTAAACCTTTGCATTATTATTGTAAATTATTTCGACTTGTTTTATCAAGAAAACAGACATGGAGACAGTAATGAATCAAAAATAGCGTTTGAACATTCGAATTTATGATCTTGAGAATTAATAATTAAAAACAGTAGGTGATCTTTAAATAATAATAACAATTTTAAAATTGAAATGAAATCTGATTTTTTTTTTAATTTCGAATTATTTATTTTTAGATAAATCTTTGTTGTTACCTTTATTTTATTGATAATTATCTTTAAATACTTTAATCACTCTAATCATATATTTTGCAAGAAATGGCTAATCAGAACCTCGAAACTTGACGGATATAGTGCAATGGGAAATTTAGAGTGGTTGAGGGAGGGGCCTTTGAATTTTGTTGAAATTGCATTGGGTTTCATTTTGAAGTACCTGTTAAGTTTTCCTATGTTCAGGCATTTTATCCCAAATAGTCACATGAGGCAATGATCTCTGGTATTAAAGCAAGCATTTAGCATCACAAGGATTCGGAAGAGTGGTGGACGAATGTCATCAAAAATCTGCAAAATGTTATAGGTAAGAGTTATTTAACTTGATATTTAATTCTCAATCAAATAGCAGATCTTGAGCAGAAGTAAGAAAGTTATTGGTGTAACTTTTGATTTATTTCTCTGTTGCCTGCCATGAGGGAGGATAACAATTGAGAGCTTGCATAGGCATGAAGAGGATAATTTGTAAATCTAACACCCAAGCTCAATATCTTTAGGTTTAATTTATTTTTAGAACTCTGTGATTTGCAACTCCAAAGACTCAAGTAGAGTGAGAGAGAGACTTTTACCATTATGACTTTTTTTTTCATTACCACTTGGATGACAAGGTGATGATGAACTCTCATGTTACATGGAAAGGAAGCTCGGATTGAAATTCAAGGATTTATTTTTCAATTTTCTCATTTTTACTTGTTAGGACATTATATGGCTTTTTTCAGAATTGGTTCCTAGTATTATAATTTATTTGTTGATCCCTTGTAAATTTAATAAAAAACACACATGTTAGATAATAATAGCATCAAATGAATTGTAACGGATATATGATATAATATATATTAATATGGAGACAAAGAAAGGCATGTCACACATACATACAAGGAAAGGAAGGATTAAACAACAAAAAAGAGAAATTGTTTTTTATTTGATTATAATTTATACATAAAAAAATATTAAAAATACAAGATAGAATAACACCAGGGTAAATTTCATGAGAGGGCTTGAACACAATGCCATTTATGAGTATTACTGGTTCCATACACTCACTATATATATAGAAGCCTTTCTTTATTTTATCGGTTTTCATCACATGTAATTTTTAACAAATAAAACACATTAATAAGCGTGTTTTACAAGCATATCAAATTAATATTGAAAATCATCATAATCAGAAAATTATTTTGTAACAACTTTTCCGAAAAAAAAATAAACAATTATTCTGATATTTAAGGCAGTTTTGTAAACATACATAAATTAAATAAAAAAATTTTAAAAAATGTTTGAAGAAACTGAACAAAAGAGAGTAATAAGCTTAGAAGATTCTCCGAGCTCACGAAGACATCGTAAAACTGAAAAAGACGAAGATGAAGAACTTTTGAAGGATGAAGCTGACGAATCAAACGAAATCACTACTTTCACCGAGTCTCCAAGCTGTAAGTATATTATTATAAATATATAAAAACGTCATCTACTTGCCAAGTTCTAGCATAATTATATTACTCGTTGTTGTTGTAGACATAAAGAATGGTGTAATGCGTGATTATCAAATCCAAGGCCTTAACTGGTTGATTTCACTTTATGAAAATCAATTAAATGGTATCTTGGCTGATGAAATGGTAAATATTTGTACCTATTAATTAAATAATATTCATGTGTATCTATCTATCTATCTACATGTATGCTCATTTATATATTTTTAATAGGGTCTTGGAAAAACTTTACAAACAATATCATTTTTAGGTTATTTGAGAGATTTTCGTAATATATCTGGTCCACATTTAATTGTTGCCCCAAAATCTACGTTAAACAATTGGCAAAAAGAATTCAATAATTGGATACCTGATTATAATGTTCTTATCTTTCATGGAAACAAAGATGAAAGAGTGAGTGATGTTTTTGTATTTTTGTATTGTTATTTTTTTATTTATTGATTTTGATGATTGATTAATTATCTTTTCCCTTAAAAGACAAAGATAAAAGAAGAGAAATTAGTTAAATTAGATTTCCAAGTATGCATAACATCCTATGAAATGTGCTTGATCGAAAAAGCAGCCCTTAAAAAATTTGAGTTCCAGTACATAGTAATTGATGAAGCTCATCGAATAAAAAATGAAAATTCAATGCTATCGCAAATAGTTAGAATATTCCAATCCAAAAATCGCCTATTGATAACAGGAACTCCTTTACAAAATAATCTTCACGAGTTGTGGGCTCTCTTAAATTTTCTTTTGCCTGATTTATTCAGTTCCTCAGATGATTTTGATTCTTGGTTTGAATCTCAAGATGGAGATCAAGATAAAGTTGTTCAACAACTACACAAGGTATTTTTTATCATTATAAAATATTATATATTATTTGTATTCATATTTCACATATTCACGTATTCATTTACTTACACATAAATTCATCAATCCATATATTTTATTAGGTTTTACGACCTTTCTTACTTCGTAGAATAAAATCTGATGTTGAAAAATCCTTACTTCCAAAAAAAGAAGTAAATATATACGTGGGTATGTCAACAATGCAGAGAAAATGGTATCAACGTATTTTGGAAAAAGACATTGCCGCTGTTAATGGTATGTATCTGTGTCTAAATTAGTATTTGTCGATATTGAAAAAAAAAAAACTAAATTAATTAATTAATAATTCTTCCATTCTATGAATAAAAAAAAAGGCGCATTGGGTAAAGGTGAAAGTAAAACACGTTTATTGAACATCGTGATGCAACTTAGAAAATGTTGTAATCACCCGTATTTATTTGATGGAGCTGTATGTATATTAATGTTAACGATAATGATAATAATAATAATAATAATGTGTGTGCGTGTATGTATAATTATTTATGTTCTAATTCTCAAAAAACAAAAATGTAAAATAGGAACCTGGGCCTCCATACACAAATGATGTACATATTATTGAGAATTCAGGAAAAATGATTGTATTGGATAAACTTCTCAAACGATTAAAGGCTCAAGGATCTCGTGTCTTATTATTTAGTCAAATGAGTCGTGTTCTTGATATACTGGAAGATTATTGTATATTTAAAAATTATGGTAATAATTTTTATTCTTAATTTACAATAACAATAATAATAGTACTATTATTATTAGATTATTAGAAAGCATTTAGGCTTATTTATATGATATAATTTATTTATAAACAATAATTAGAATATTGTCGTATTGATGGTCAAACTAAACAGGAGGATCGAATAAATGCAATTGATGAATATAATGCTCCTGACAGCGAGAAATTTGTTTTTCTTTTAACAACACGGGCCGGTGGTCTCGGAATCAATCTTACATCTGCAGACATTGTAATAATATTTGATAGTGACTGGTAATTAAAATGTATAAATATAAATATTTACTGTTTATTTTTTTCTTGGACAAATAATTTTGTATTCTCTTTATGTTTATAGGAATCCACAGGTTGATTTACAAGCACAAGATCGTGCTCATCGTATTGGCCAAACAAAACAAGTTTATGTGTTTCGTTTTGTAACTGAAGTAAGTTAGATAGGAAAAATGAATATTTAGTTGGTTGTCACATTTTAAAAACATTATAAATGCTCATGATTTTTTTTTAAAAAAAACTGTCGTTTAGAATTCAATCGAAGAAAAAGTTCTTGAAAGAGCAGCACAAAAACTAAGACTAGATCAACTTGTTATTCAACAAGGACGAGCCAATCATGCACAAAAAAGTATATAAATATAACCATTTGTTATTCCATTAAAAGGCTATACATTTAATTTATTCATTCTCGTTATTTATATTTTTTAAAATATTCATTTAGATGCCACCAAGGAAGAACTTTTATCAATGATCCAACATGGCGCAGAGAAAATTTTTAGTTCGGCTGATAGCACCGTCAGTGATAATGATATTGATTATATTTTACGTAAAGGTGAAGAAAAAACCGCCGAACTCAATCAGAAATTCCAAAGTCTTGGATTGGATGATTTGCAAAAGTTTACATCTGACTCTAGTTCATCTTATGAATGGCAAGGAGAGAATTGGGTGAATAAGGTTGGTTTTATTTTTAACAATCGGTGAGAATTGTTTATAATTGATATGATTTTTGTTAAACAATATATTTTTTATAGCGCAAAGGAGAAAATTCACGAGGTTTCAATTGGATAGAACCACCAAAACGTGAACGTAAAGCTAATTATGCAATAGATTCGTATTATAGAGAAGCTTTAAGGGTAACTTCAAAGCCTGCTCAACCAAAAGTCCCAAAAATACCAAAACAAATCACTTTGTAAGTCTTAAAAGCTACTGCATCTATGTATATATTTTTTTTATTTATTATATAGTTATTAATTGATTTTTCTTTATACTATTAATAGTGCAGAGTTTCAATTTTATCCTCCACGTTTAGTTGAATTATTGAAAAAAGAGAATTATCATCAACATGTATGTGTACCATTTACAAATCTAGAATTTAATATGTTTTATATTAAATAATTATTACCTAACATCGTTTATTAAATATTTGATGCTTTAGAAATTAATGAATTTCAAGGTCCCATTAGCAGAACCTTTACCTCAAAATGATAACCCAGAATTAAGAGAAAGTGAACGTCAAGAAGAACAGGATAAAATTGATAATGGTATGCGCATATTTTCTAATATTAATTAACTGAATCAGAGACTTTATAACTAATGTATTCTACACAAATGTATAGCTGAACCTTTGACGGGAGAAGAAGAAGCTGAAAAAAATTTACTAATGAAAAAAGTAAGAATACAATATTTAAATTATTTATATATATATATTTTGTTACTCTTTTTAATATCATATAAAATTATTGTAATAAGGCATTTGAAGATTGGAGTAAACGTGATTTCAATAACTTTATAACTGCTTCAGCTAAATATGGAAGGTAGGAATTCGTTTTAAAGTATATTATGAATTATGAATTAATAATGACAATTTGCTGATGATGATGATTAATGATTTTAAATATGATAGAACTGCTATTGAAGAAATAGCCGAAGAGATAGAAAAATCATTAGATGATGTTAAGAAATACGCCAAAGTGTTTTGGGAACGATATAAAGAATTACCTAGTATGTATTATTTAATTCTATTTTTATTTTATTTTGTTTGGTTATTTTATCCACATATTATTAATATTTATTCGCATCCCCCTCCAATAAATAAATAAACAGATTATGAAGAATTGATTGCAAAGATTGAAAGAAGTGAACAGAAAATGCAACAAACTCAAGAAATACAAGAACTGATTAAATCAAAGGTGGCTCAATACAAAAATTCCAGTTATGATATACAATTATCAAGTCAAAACAAAGGCAAATCATTATTTACCGACGAGGAAGATCGATATTTGTTAATGGCACTTGCAAAATACGGATATGGAACTGAGGGTGTTTATGAGAAAATACGAAATGAAATTGAGAGTTCTGAATGCTTTCGATTTAATTGGTTTATTAAATCGAGAGCTGCTGGTGAATTGGGTAGACGTTGTAGCACACTTATAAATATGTTACAGAGGGAGCAAAACGACGACGATGATAATAAATTTATTCATTATCATCATCAAAATGGTAATGGTAGTAGTAGTAGCAGTAGCAGTGGTGGAGGAAATAAAAATGATTTAAAAGTAAATGTTATTAGTTTATTTTTTTTATTATTATTATGAATATTTTGTTTTTTTTTTTTTTTTTATATGATTTTAATATTTTTTTTAACATTTTAAAAAAATTTACTAACTAAAAAAAACAATTATTTGTAGCGACCACAAACCAATGGAAGTATAAATAATAATAGTGGTAGTAATAGTAAACGTAGACGTACATGAAAAATATTCAAATATTTGTAAAAGTATTACATGTTTTTTTAAAGAATTCACTATATATATATATATATATATTAAATAATATAATATAATATAATATAATATAATCTTTTTTTTTACCAAACCATACACATCACACCTAGATATATATATATATATTATATAATATATAGAATATGAAAAGATAATAATATATATATATAATTTATAATATAAAGAAACAAAAAAAATAAAATAAAACCAAAAAAAAGTTGGATCATAAGAAAAGTGAAATATAATAATATAATAATGTATTTTGTTGTTATTTATGATGATGATGATGATGAGTTGATATATACTTGAATGATGTTGATGATGAAAATGAAAAAGGTAATATAATAATAATGAATTATAACCTCCTCCTTATTAGATTAATTAATAATTACAATAATAATAATGATAGTTGGTGTTTATGTTGGTTAGTATAATGTTGCTAGTGTTAGTGTTAATGTAATACTAATAATGATTATGATTGTGATAGTTATTATGAAAAAAATAAAAATAAAAATAATGAGATAATATGGTAACAAAATGATAAGGAGAATAATAAATTACTCATTTATTATTCGTTTTTTTTCTAGAAAGATCTCTGAATGCTGAATCAATACAATTTTTTATTTCTTTATAAGAGACGATAAGACATGATTGTTCATCTCTTGAAACAAGCATAATCCTTTCATCAACACCAGCATCCAACTATAATATAATAAATAGATGAAATGAAATCATTATATTTTATATTTAAATTATATAAAAAATTTTCACTATTATTAATTTAATTAGTCACCTTATTTAAGCATGTTAGAACATGCGCCATGTTAACTACTGGATAACCATTCTCATCCACTTGATGAAAAACGTAATCTCTAAAGAGTTTAATTAAATATCTATCGCCTGTTTCCGACCAACTTGGATCCATATCAAATCTAATAACATAATTATATTATTATTAGCAATTGATTGATTGATCGATAGGTCGATCGATTAGTTGTTTATTATATCAACTTACTCTGGACGTTCATTAATAAATCCAAATTTACATAACAAGCGTACTAATCTTCCATTTTCTAATTCTTGAGATAATTCGCTTTCTAAAAAGTCACTATAACTAAAGAAATACAAAGATAAATATCATCAACGTCATGTATACTAATTAACTGATTATATACATATAGCTCTTCTTTTTATTAAATACATACTGATGGGCACTATTAATTTCATGTACTAGACGTGGACCGATCATCGCTATGACGTCATCTATTGATTTCATTGGAAGTGGTTTACTTAACAAATACAAAATAACTTTCTTGAAATCAGGAGAATATTGTCGAGTAACGTAATCGATTGATTTTGGAAGATTGTGAACAGACGATAGAGAATTACACGCAAGTGAGATTAATAACTGTCCAAAGTGCAAGAGATCATCTTGCTATGTATGTATAAGTGTGTATGTATAAGTGTGTATGTATAAGTGTATGAATGAATTATTTGAGAAAAATCAATCAACTAGCTTATAAAAATAAACCTGATAATGAGGAATGTTTTTTCCGCCATCATATGATAACATATCCATTACACCACAGCAATTAATTCGTATTCTAAATTATTATGGAATGAAAATTAGAAATAAATAAATAGTATTTAACTAATTAATAATTATTATATATCTTGCTAAAGTCTTCCAACATACCGGTTTTTACTTGTTAATAGAATTTTAGTTGGTTCAATTACTCTTGCGGCTAAACCAGCAGAATGAATAGTCTTCACGGCAGAAGCGAGTTGTGTTATATAGCTCCATAAAACTTTTTCGGGAATGTTACCGATTACGTTAGTAATGCCATTTTGCGAGTTTGATAAGTTCGTTGGAATGGGAGGGGCGGCAAAATGTTTATCGAATAAGGTCTGTGATAAAGGATGATAATCGTACACGAAGACAAGTGCTTTTTCATACGATCGAATCATCGACATTTATTAGAACTACAAAATTGTCGAATTATTCTTCCAAGTTGAAAATATAAAATTTTTTCATTTGAAATTTTTTCATATCACTCACAATTATCACCAAAAGCTTTTGTTGTAAATGCTTCACGTATAGAAACGATATTTGCATGTCTAACTCTTCTCCAACTTTCTATTGCCGACATTGCCAATTCATTCGTAAGTCTGAATCCTATAATTATATAAAGATAGATAAATGTAGGGTATGTATATATATATATATGTGCGTGTGTAAATATATATATGAATCTTTATTACCTTCAACACGTCTCAAACAATATACCCGTCCATCAACATTGCTTACTGACTTATATGCCCAAGTTGGATACCCAAAAATATTTACAGATTTTTCTTGACGTTCATCAAGCGGACATAAAGAATGGTATACATGCAACTCCTCAGGTAAATTATAATCTTTGGCTTTGATTTAGTGAAGGAAAAAAATTTGGTTAATCCACAAAAATATACATAATAAATTATCATAAAATAAATGATTAAAAAAATAAATACCATTTACTGTTTTCAAAGTTGCTTCGTTTTTTTGTTGCAACTCTTCACGTAAATGGTCCGACATAAAAAAAGCATGAATAGTTTTTTGGTGTGGGTGTAAATTTGATACATGTGGCAGAGGTGATGTGTAAAGATGATATTGAAGCTACGATTAAATATAATAATGGAAAAAAAAAATCAATAAAAAAATTTTATGTTCTTAAAATCATTAATACATCATCTACATGCATGCGTACTGGTTGTGGCAATAGAGCCTCCTGGCTTTGATATAAAAATGGATCCAAGTAATGTGAAGTAGTGTAATAACTTGTATTATTAATCTGATGATGATGAGTTGCTGATTCACTCAACGGTATTTCTTCAGACGTAAATCGTGTAACCTAACAAACAAGCAAAATAAATAAGTTAAATTAATTTATATAATTAATTGATTAATTAAAAGACTAACGTTATTGTTTAATCCTAAGGATGCAAACGAATTAGCGAGTGCATTCAAACCACGAGTTCCTACTCCGCCACCAGAGGATAATAAAAAAGATGAAGAAGTGGTGGTAGATTGAGGCGGGAAGAAGTTTACAGATTGATCAAACAAAGGACCACTTTTGTGAAGAAAGAAAAAAAAATGGATGGAGATAAAAAGAAGTTAATCTTTCTGTATATGCATTACTCGTTCATATTATTCAAATATTAATTAATCAACATACTCTTGATCATCGCCATCATAAAATTTCTGTTCTTGAGGAGAGCCTTTTCAAAAATATGGAAAATAGAATAATAAATATCAAAGAGATAATTAACATTCATAAATAAAGTTCTTTATATGCATAAATAAATTTACTTGGAATACTTGTAGTAGTCAAGATTGTGCTGCTGCTACTATTGCTACTGCTACTGCTACTATTATTATTAATTTTAATATCTTCAGTACCAATTCCTTTTTATTTTTATTTTGTATGGATAAAAATTAAAAACTAAGATTAGATTAAATACTTTTTTTTTTTTCATATAGGATGAATGAATTAATTACTAACCTTGGTTGTTTTTTGGAATAAAAGGAGGGGCATTGATTACTTCTGGTGGAATGGTAGAAACTATACTAGTAGTTGTAGTAGATGAAGTTGTAGTGGTGGTTGATGAAGTAGTAGTAGATGATGACGATGATGATGATGATGGTTTGAATACTGGAGAGGTTACACTTAATTTTGATTTGGATCTGATATATATAAACATTATAGCGATAGTAAATGACTTGGAACAATGAAAAATAATTAAGAATTGTTAATGTGTATATAAATCCTCCTACGTTTCAGGACTGTTGGGAGGTGAAGTCGACTTCCCCTAATTAAATATTCATTATATAATTAATAAACATTAATAATTAATAATGAATTTCTCCATAAAAAAAGAAGTTGGAAAAAAACTTACAAACTCATGATTAAATTCACAACTTTTTCCTTCAAATTTACAATAACCATGTATGATTAAATTTCTACAAGTACGCGATTTAGTATTATCTAAATGATTGAAAAATAAGGCGTTTAAATGTTAATTTTAATTATAGACGAGACAAGACCGGAAGAACTTTTTAATAATGGTCAATGGTTTTAAAAAGAGAGAATATAAAATAATAAGAAACCAAACCAACTTTTAATATTTTGATTTTTTTGAGTGTCTTTGGTTGTAGTTGGAGCAACAATTGGAATGGCAGAAGAACCTGAGGTTGGTGGAACTGCAAAAGAAGCCATATCAACAATATTAAAAAATTTTTTTTAAAAAAAAACGCGATTCGATTGAATTCTTTACAAAACACTTTTTGACTTTAAGCAAAACAATATATATTATGCTAGAAAAACTAGAAAAAGAATGTGTACAAATTGATTTAATCTTTGTGAGAAAACGAACAATTTACAATAATTATTTATAATATTGTTAACAATGCAACTTTTCACATTGAATTCACCTCTAAATAACTATAAATAATAATTTGCATATAATGTGTGTATTTGTGTTTTTTGTATCACTTATTGAGAAATTGCGCATAAATATAACAAAACAAAAGGTTAAATATGGTTGTAAGTCACCTAGTCTGAACTTCTACAACGCCAATTTGAGAAACTCAAAATGGCAATAATATTTTTAACGTTTGGGAATTCACGTGGCAATATTAGCAAAGCAAGCAAAAAACGTCAAGTTATGGAAATACTTTTGGAGGCGGGGTAGACCCTGGGTTGTCATAATTAACGGTTGTGTCAATTAGTGCGATAATACCAACATGTAGATCAATTTTAACTAATAAACAGATCATCACAACACTTAATTGTAACGACCCAGGTTTACCCTTGAAAATTATTTTCATACTCTACTCTTCTATATATCAATTAATCTGGGTTTCACCATATATATATGAGATTTCTAAATACCAAATTGTAAATTACTATAGAACTCAAATTCGTCGTGTACTAGTGAGGTGTAACGTTATACATTAGTAATTTTTGCATTCCCAGAATAAATGATTGGGTGATGGATGGATGATGTTGCCCTAATCAAATCAAATCATGTTACATAACTTTTTTTTATAAAAACTATCCTTCAATTAGGATACAAACAAACATGAATTAGGTAAATAGGCCAAGCAGGGTGCGAAATGTGTGATCAAAAATGCCTTGATTGGGAAATTTTTATCCGAAATCTTCAGAAATATCGGGTTTTTTCTTGTTAAATAAAAAGTTTAGATATTGAAAAAAAATCATGATGGATGGATAAACTTTACAGCCAAACAAATCAGAGCAAAAGGCTTTGTTCTAAGGGTATGATAAATCACGCGACAATTTAATACAAAATTCGCCACCCAAAAATTTTAAGCAATTGTTCTAAAGGTAAAATAACGTGAGGCATGTTCAAACAACTTCTTCTATTATATTATGTATTCTGGTGCATATTAATCATTGAAAGTGATTTTGAGTAAATTTTTCTTTAAAAAATAAAGCTCACCCGAACGGATTTTTAAAAGAAACCCTTATTTCAAATCACTTCCAATGATTAATATACACCAGAATACATATGTGTTTCTCTAGAAAAAGGTATCTTCAGTGCCCTCTGACTAAAATTGAGATTTTTGCATAATATATATTTATATGATAAGGATTATAACTGGTGAAAAAATCAGTCCCTGTTTATTTGGCAAAAGCTTGGGATTTTTATAATAGTCCGGAAGTTGTTTGAACGCGTCTCGCGTAATTTTACCTTTAGAACAATTGCTAATTTGAGAAAGTAAAAAATTCACGTGATCTACCCTTAATAAGTTTACATATTCAGTAAAGAGATTCCCAATTGGTTTTTTCTGTGGATCTTTCCCCTTTAGAGATAAAGCAGGCGTCCATAAGAAATTTTTTCTTTTTTTATTTTTTTTATTTAACTCCGATGCGGATCAATCATCTAATCTATTACTATATACACTCAAAAGTTAATTGAAATATTATGTAATCCACACACATGTTAGATTTTAAAAAAACCACCATTCAAATTCATGCAAAAAAAAATTTCTCATTTTTTTTGATTTGATAAATTTTGTTACACAAATTTACTTGGTCTCAATTTCTTTCAAATGCAATAATGACAAAATTGAAATTTTCAAAATGCTAAGGCTCAGCCAATTTTAGTTTTGAAAAAAAAAACTAGCTGATAAATTTTGAAGCTTGAGTCATGAACGATAAAACTTATCGATTAACTTTTTAAGATGATATAAAAGATTTTTTGTTACATACAATTAATAGATGAAGAAGAGGTTGCAACCCAAAAAAGTTTAATGCAACTTATGCAATCGTCTGCAACCTCTGATTGGTCAATTACTTAACTAATAATAATATTTTTCCTGAATGAATAATTTTTTATTGTTATGAGTGATGTTTTTTTATTAAAAAACCATTAATATTAGCAATAAAAGATAATGTTTGCAGTTATGTGATTTCATTGATACCAATTCAGAGAAGGTTGCAACTCAAACTTTAAAATTTGCAGTTGCATAAATGTGAAACGGTTACAGACACCAACTTTATTTATGTATAGCGCCCATGAAAAAATCTGTACATATTGATTTACCATATTGATATTAAAATAGGCCTGATGATATGAAAGCCCAAATAAATGATCAAAAAATTTTATACTACAGAAATCTCATACCAACATCACAGTTCACATGATTTTGAATGGCCTTTCTTCACGTGAGGATTAAAAATTAATATTATTTATTTGATTTGATTTTTTTTTGTGATAATGTTTTAATTAATAAAATAACTATCTTATTCTAAAATAACAATTAAATAATTAAATAATTGATAATTTGATAATGATTGATAAATGGGGCATGCTGCAACAAAACCAGACAAAGTGAACATTTGGCATCACTAGAATTTCAGGGATCAAAATTTAGTAGTGTGATTATTTTTATTTTTATTTTTTTTTTTGGAAAAATATTGCTTGGTATTATTGGTTCTAAAAGCGTGTTAATAACTAACCAGAGGTAACTTTTTTTAATTTGCATTGATATAATGTGGATTTATATAATGTATATGATTGAAATCGAAACGCGGAGCAGATCTTGCTGGGTAAGTATAAAATTCTCATCATGATGGGTAAATGATTGGTATTTGGCTTTTCATAATCAATATCATCATCATCATCATCATCATTATTATTACAATAAATAATTACAAGAAAATGTCAAGGCAGCACACCGTTGAATACGAATATGAACATTTCGATATGTGACGTTTGATTATCGGAAATTAGCAGACGTTGAAGCACGCACGCTACCTTGAACACGTTACAGTCATTCTCGCACGTTCCTCTTGTGCACAAGGTTAATCTGACTCGGTCCCTCGATGATACAATGATGCAACTGAATTCCAGGAGGGGGGTGGGCATGTCCTGGAGCTGCATCAAAGCTGCATCAACTGTCAATGACACTTTTGACAATCTTTTCTCAAAGCACCCAGACCAGAGAAGGCTGCCATGTTAGCCGAAAAATTGCCTGCGGCGATCCTACCTCTAGGGTAGGGGTGTCACAACTCTGGAGTAATATTAAGAGAACCTGCAACTCTTTTCAAGCACAGGAGGTTGCAATTCAGAGCAGGGTTGGTGGCCCTGAAATTGCGTTTGGGCTCTGATGTTATTAAACTAACATGGTTCAGATTTTGTTTGGTATGTTATGCATAAATTAATCATTTTCATAAATTTTCTGTTTAAGCATGTTAGCCGGAATTGCCTCTCTTAGTAAATGATCGTCGCCGAATCCAAAATGCCGAAATAGTTTTTCATAGATGCCGAACTTATGTCTGAAATTATTTGAATACTTTAACTAAATAGCCGAAAATTATAGTTTTTTTATGGCTATTGATATGAAGAATATTGTAAATCCGAAATTGCTTGCTGAAATTGATTTTTTCAAAATCCATTTCGGCTAACATCCTTAGAAATGATTAAATAGCTGAGTCATGTTTGTTTTATTAAAGATGCATAATTAATTATATTTAAAATATACAATAAAAAATTGCATGTAATTTAAGGCTGCACCACTATGTCAATCAAGCTATCAAGTTATTATGTTTGTGCATGATTTAAAATTCTTTTGTGCTAATTTAGGTCCCATCTTTCTTTGCCTATGTATAATTCTTTTGGTTTTCTTTTTACTGGTTGAATGATGCCAAATTGGGTAATGAGGTATATCAGTAAATATCAGAATCTTATATCTGACCAATAAATATTCTTTAAAAAAATAATCGAGGCATTAGCATGCCAATAAGATGATAATATTCTTGGTATTTTTATCATATATACAGTCTAAAAGCCTATTAGTAAATATTGAAAGTGCCAATATTTATCCTATTTTTTAGTTAACCATTGGCTCAATTTAATAAACCAATAGCTCTTTTAAGTTATTGGTTAAACATTTCTAAAGCTCTTTGTGAGTAGTAGTTAGGGTTTCTATTTGAATAAGATTTATTTGAATAAAGTGAATAAAACAAATAAAGATCAAGAAAGAGAAATAATCAATAGAAGAACTTGAATTAAAAATTTGACACCTTACTGGCCAACCTTATGAAAGTAGTTATGTCCTGGCCATTGGTGATTTAAAAAAAGTGATTAGAGGAAGGTAAGTTAAGAATGGCAGTAGATCCTAATGAAATAAGGGAATTGTAAAAGAGTTTGATTTGACAACATTACAATCAAAGAAATGTTAGAAGGTTTATTGATAGTTCAAAAGAATTAGTTACAAGTTGTTCAAATTGAAATAAAAGAGATTATCAACTTACTGAACAAAAGAGCAGAATTGAATAAGTATAAAGAGCAAGTTGAAAATTTAGAAAAAAAACTTAGAAATTTTGTTAGTTTGACATGAGGAGCAAGAAGAAATTGATAATGTAACACCACATCCCCCACTTGCAACCAGTGAATGCAGGAATTATCAAGTCATTCAAAGCTAAATAAGCATTTATATTGTCAGCATACTTTTTTGAAAGTGGAACAGCTATTTGAAAGCCTCTTAATTATATATTCTTTGCATTGAATTTTTCTCATGTTAGGTCCATGTTCAATTGGGATAATGTTGCTCGATCTTGGTCTGATGTAACAACTACAACAACAAAAAATTGCTGGGGCAAGACAGGTGTTTACTAGCGACCAAAGTATACAAACAAATCCATTGATGGATGAAGATGAAGAGCTTGCAAATCCATTTAATAATTTGTTAACTGATGATAATAATCAACAAGTACTGGCTCATCGAGTTGAATAATTTATTAATGCAGTTGTTGAATTGAAGGTACTCTTGGTGATAAAGGGAGGAATTCTTGAAGCTGGTTACAACGTTTCAGATCCATAATTACCATTAAAGAAGCTCGTGAAGCTTTAAAGAAAGTTGAAGAGAGCCAGCCAGGATGAAATAAATAAGAATGTCTTTGTTACAAGCAAAAATTGATAATTATATAATAATGTTGATAATATTATTATTAACATTGATAATATTATGAAATTATCATTTAATTTTGAATTTTATTAATTAACATGACTACTATTTTGAAGGCCATTTCATTTTAATATATTAAATACTAATATGACGTTTTCATTTACATGATACAAAAAGAGATAAAATACAAGTTATTTTGTCTCAATTGGATGGATACATACTGACCGAAATAAAGAAATACTCATAAGGCGGTTTTATTCTTACATGGCCTTAGGGATCAAACAAGTGCTATTTCATCTCAATTAGATGGATACATACTCAATAAATAAAGAAAAATAGGTTGAATATTAATAATCATTCATTTGTTTTTTATAATATTGTAATAAAGACGACGAAGCAAGCATTAAAAATCATTTAATAAAAATTAAAATTGTTATGTTTCATTTACTATTTTATTTCTATTTACAAACAATTTAATTAACCGCTTCGGAAATGTTGTCCACTTGATGTCCCATTGTTCCATTCAGCCAACCGCTTAACATTCTGACGACCAAAACGCATGGTATTTGTGTAATTGTGGGATTTGAGAGATCTCTTGGTGACTGACATGGTGTGCTGATGACAATCCTTTCATAGGAACACCGCCAACGTTGATCCACTGATGGCAAGCTGACGACAGTCTTGATTTTGCTGTGTTGATGATTTGCTGCGTTGGCGACTTATATGATGTATACATGCCGCCCAAATCCCAAATGTAAAAAATGAATTTGGGGCAGGCTGTCAAAGAATTTCCAAAGCCCAAACTATTTTGTACACACTAATGGCATTCTGAAGTGATTGTGAAGGTGGTTACAATAAGGTTTCCGGTCCAAATTGTTTTCTCAGAGCCCAAACCGGTTTGGACAATTTGGGCTTCTCAATGTTTTTATAAGAATGAACATGAAAAATCACATGAATCAAATTTATTTTAACCCGAACAACTTTAAAATAATTTCGTTCAGCTCTAACTAAAGTGGTTTGGACAATTCTACTAAATGAGGTATATATGTAATATTTAATCAACAAACCCCTGTGTTACACTAGATGCTTATTGGGTAAGGATTGATATATAGTGATTGGGTGAACCATTATTAATTAATTAATTATTACAAAGTTATTATTTCGAAGATGATCTATTTGAAAGTCACAATTTAACTCTAGCTAGATGCTCAAATACTTCTTGACGTTTCACTAAATTATATTTAATTGATTTGATCATTCAATCAATTTATCAAATTTCGATCGCTTTACTAAATATTGTTACAATCAAAAAATCCATCAGGTCTGAAGACCAAAGACATTAAGATATCATATAATTCATTTAGATCACACTTTCAAATGACCAAAACTACATTTAATTTTTTGTTGTTGGATATAGACAATAGAGAAACTCTAGGATATCACAAGAATCTGTACATACTTAATTTCGCAAAAAAGATTCATTATCTCTATGAAAGAGGCATTTAATAATTTATTACTTGGCCAAAAAGCGGTAGGCTAATTGATGTATTGAATGTGAATGTATTCAGAAATCTGCATCCTGGTTCGCCTTATCTAGAAAGTGTAATCAAGACTCCCATATTATAATTCTACGAGAAATCGAGCTTTTACATATGACTGCCATGACTTTAAAGTAAAATAAGCTTCTTGGTTGACTATTCAAGATAGGGCAATGATTTCTGAAACATTATCTGCTTATATTTTTTTTTGCAATTCTGCTCAACTCTACCAGTGTAAAAAAATCAATTATCTTGAATTTATTAGAATTGAAAATTGTTATTTAAAACTAATTATTATAAAAAATTATTACACAGAGAATCTCATCCGATGTCCGTAAAAGCAAGATATTATTATTATTATTATTATTATTATTATTATTATTATTATTATTATCGGAATATCCATTATTATTCTATACTAATACTAATACACACCTAAGCTTGTTGGCCGAAATTAAAATTGGCTCTCTTAATAAATGATCATGATCGAATCCGATATGTCCGAGCTCAATAGCCGAAATTCTGGATGTATATTGTAAATCCAAATTGCTTACCGAAATTGATTTTTCAAAAACAATTGCGGGCTAACAACCTTGACATCGCTCAATACCTTCTCTTCTCAATATATATAAAGCAGTATCTTAATTTAATATGAATGCAAATAAAAATAGTATAATGTTTTTATATAGAAATCCTTCTAAATCGGTAAAAGAATATTAAACACATTTCGGCAAGTCAATGATACTGTGATTATTATAAATATATAATATAAAGATTCATTTTCATTGTATAAGTACTGCAATCTATAAAATTGCCAAGATTTGATGAATCGACAAGACGACGTTTAAACTCGTGTGTGGAAGCAAGTGGTTGAATTCTGCTGGAATTTATCAAAATTATTAGTGAGCTGTGATGGAAAACTAGGAAGAGAAATTTGCAAGAGAAAATCGTTCTAGTTTCTAGACGCAGTAATTCAATAAAAAAAAAGATGCTTTGGGAGAATCATGATACAAGAATATTAGCAATGTTATGTTTATATTTATATGTTGACATTTAATCTCAACCACACACATATTCTGTGTCAATAGAAAAAACATTATCTGCTCATCAAGGTTTCTTTGATTATAAACATTGGTCAAAACCAATGAGTAGAAATTACTTGGACAAAACTGATGACTATGCTTTTGATGAGTATTATCAATGAGTATTTGGTTGTTTGAGAGTAGATATTCTTGCTTTTATTTGATATATATATATATAGACGCGTAATCAAAATATGCATGAGATTTGGAAATTTTACACATGAGGGTTCTAAAAATAGATTTTGAAACTACTATATATAAACATTTGACCATCTCAAAATTTATCTTCCTTTTTTTTAAAAAAAAAAAAAAAAGAATATTTTTTATTAACATTCGCATAATATTAATTAAAAAAAAATAAAATGGTATTTAGTTTAAATTCTGTCAACTGTCAAAATTTTCGAAATTTATAAAAAAACGCGTAAATAAATATGTAAATTCATGTATAAAAATTTTATATGTATATATATAACAAATCTAGAGTCGCAAGAGAACTTATAACGATGTTAATAGTCCAACTTCTGATCATAATCTTTCACCATTAATCAATAGTCCATCAACACCTTTAATTACTGGTGGTGGATTAAGTCGTCGTAGTATTATTGATAATATTACTAGACTCAACAATGTAAATAATAGAGAAATTTCACTAGAAGCAGAAGAAGGAGAAGCAGATATTGAAGAAATTAATGAAATTGATGATGTTGATCATGAAATTTATAGTGATGATGAAGAAGAGGGCGAAGATTTGATTACTGATGACATGGGAAGGTAGTTAATTAATTAACTAACAGAGGATCATTATATTATCTGTTTTTATACATATTGATATTGATATTATTATTATTATCATCATCATCATCATCATCATTATAGAGACTATCTATCAAATCCTCATTATGACCAATATGAACAAGTGGGTATAGATGATAATCTTATTGAAAATGAGCCAGATCCTGCAGCACGTAGACGTGCTGAATTTCTTATGGAGCAACGTGATGCTCTTGAAGCTGGAAGACCTGTTGAATCAACTATGTGTAAGTTGTTTGTTATATATAAAATAATAAGTAATTGATCATTCGATTATTAATATATATATATTTATTTATATATTTATATATAGTACCTGATCATCCAAAGAAAATTACACAGAGAAAAAGATATGATGAACCAATTGATGCTGAAGAAGAAGAAGAAGGGGATGAGAGTTTGACAATAGAGGAACTTTCAGATATGAAAGCAAATAATGTACTTGAATGGGTTCAAAAACCACCTGTCAAGAATGGTATCATGAAGCAATTTAGTCATTTCTTACATTCATTTACAATTGATGGCAAAAATGTTTATCGGCAAAGGATTGATGAATTAACAGCAAGTATGTATGGATGAATATATTTGATATTTGTAATATATGTAATTACTAATTATTTTATTAAAAAAATAATCCAAAAAAATTATAAATAGAAAATTCAAAAACATTATTTGTGGATTTCAAACATTTAATCGAACATAAACCAATTTTATGTTCTTTTTTGCAAGAATGTCCAACTGTAATCTTGAATTTATTTGATGAGGTTTCAAATAATGTAATCATTCAAAGATATCACAATTATTCTAATATTGAAAAACATGTCACAGTCCGCATAACTAATTATTCAGGTAATCGTACTCTTAGACAACTTAGGTATGTAAGAATTTATTATATTATTATTGTTATTATATTTATGCACATATAATGAACAAACAAACACATACACACTCTCTATATATATATCTATTTGTACTTTCCACACGTTCTTTTTCTTTTACATACAAAAAAAAAAAAAAAAACAAATATCAGAGAAAAGCATCTTAATACATTTGTATGTGTCAATGGAGTAATTACCAAAAGAACAGGAGTATTTCCACAATTGAAATATGTAAAATATAATTGCGGAAAATGTGGAGGACTGCTTGGACCATTTACTCAAGACTCTGATTCAGAAATTAAAATAAATCATTGTATACATTGTGAATCAAAGGGTCCATTCTATATAAATGTAGAAAATGTAAGATAACATATATTTTATATCATAATAATGGATCGATTGGATTATTAATAACTTTATTAATAATTTGTCCCAGACAATATATAGTGATTATCAAAAGATAACACTTCAAGAGAATCCAGGTTCGGTTCCGCCTGGAAGATTACCTCGTCATCGTGAAGTTATTCTATTTGGTGATTTGATTGATTCAGCAAAACCTGGCGAAGAAATCGTAAGAATATAATTTCTGTCTAATAAACCCAATAATAAATGAATAGATAAATACATTTATTATATTTAATAATAATGATAATAATAATAATAGAACGTAACTGGAATTTATCGGAATAATTATGATGCGTCGTTAAATATTAAAAATGGATTCCCCGTGTTTTCCACATTAATTGAAGCAAATTATATTTATAAAACACATGATGCTAATATTGACTTGAGTGATGAAGATAAAAGAAAAATAGAAGATTATTCTAAAGATCCTCGAATTGCCCAAAGGGTAACTATATAATTAATATAATGATTTATTTATTTATTTGTTTATTAAAATAATTATATATATTATATTACAACACACACATATATCTATAGATATTCAAAAGTATTGCACCATCGATTTATGGACATGCTAATATAAAAAGAGCTTTAGCTTTATCATTATTTGGAGGTGTACCAAAAAATATCAAAGACAAACATCGATTACGTGGTGATATTAATATTCTTATGCTTGGAGATCCTGGTACAGCCAAGTCACAATTTCTAAAGTATATTGAAAAGACAGCACATCGAGCTGTATTCACAACAGGACAAGGGGCTTCAGCAGTTGGTCTGACGGCATCAGTAAAAAAAGATCCGGTGACCAGAGAATGGACATTAGAAGGCGGAGCATTGGTGCTTGCAGATCAAGGAATTTGTCTCATTGATGAATTTGACAAAATGAATGATTCTGATAGGTATAATTATTTGATGTTTTAATAATGATTGTTTGATATTATATATAATGCATATATTGATAAATCATATCAATTATAATTATGCATTTCTAAATTATATGTGCGTTCATGCACAACCACTCTCTCACATATACAAATATAAATATAATATCTAGAACAAGTATCCATGAAGCAATGGAACAACAAACAATATCAATTAATAAAGCGGGAATAAATACAGTTCTTAATGCAAGATGTGCAGTTTTAGCAGCTGCCAATCCAATTAGAGGACGATACAATGCCTCAGTACCATTTTCGCATAACGTATATCTAACCGAGCCTATTTTGTCACGATTTGATATTTTATGTGTTGTCAAAGATAAAGTTAATTCAGGGATTGATGAAATTCTAGCTGAATTTGTTGTTGCTAGTCATATTAGAAGTCATCCGTCTTCCAAAGCTCAAAGTGTTGGTGATTTACATCAGGATGCTGACGTATGTATATGATATATATTTATATATATATATATATATGAGTGATACATGTTCACTTATTTATTCTTACATCATCAATATATCAATTAGCTTATTCCTCAAGATGACTTAAGGAAATATATTTTATATGCTAAACAAATTGAACCAACATTATCTGAATTTGATAAATTAAAAGTCGCTAATCTTTATGCAGGTTTAAGACAAGAGGTTAGTAGAATGGAATAAAAATAAACTAACATTTATTATAATATATAATAGTAATAATAATTATTATTATTTAGGCACAAAATGGGGGTATTCCAATAACTGTTCGTTATTTAGAATCAATAATACGATTAGCAGAAGCACACGCAAGGTATTACTATGTTCTATTATTATCACTATTATCTATTATTATAATTTAATAGTTTTTTTTTGGTGTAGAATTCATCTTCGTCGTGATACTATTGGCAGAGATTTAGATGTAGCAATTGATGTCGTTTTAAGAAGTTTCTTTTCATCTCAGAAATATTCAGTTGCAAATAAACTTAAAGAAGTAAATATAATAATAATGGTTATTATTTTTAATTATTAAAATAATATGATTATATTAATACATAATTTTTTTTTTTGTAGAAATTTGGTGGATTTTTGATGTAGATCAAAATTATATATGGTCTCGCCTCATGTTATTTTTGCTAAAAATTAAATAAATAAAAATCTATTTCTTTTACTTCATCAATTTAATATGGATTCTTCATAAAATATTGAACGAGCATATGCAATGTGCATGTCACGAATCAAAAGCAAAGGATAAAGAAAAAAAAGATTGTTAATATAATGACTAACCTATTACATTTTACAAGACTATAGAACAATAACTCTGACCCTTGTAGATACAGTACAATGTGCTACTGGGATGATCATACTGGGTATCCACCAACTTATGAACTTATAACTCTGGTGTTCAATTAGTTCTTTGAAAATTTGTTGGCCGCACTCCTCCATTATGGTATAAATATTTCTAACTGCATTCACGTCCCGGTTCTAAACTCTGCAACAAATCTGATCATGTATAGATTGGCTGAGGATTTCCAAACCAATCTTCATATCTAGAACAGAACTGTTGGGAAAAAATAAAAACGTAAATAAATCATTTTACAAATTTAGAAATTTTAGTAACTATCTCCAGACATAATCCAAAAATCGTTGTAAATTAATAAAATAATTATAATGGTTTGTTCAAAGTGTATGATATTTTTTTTATTAAGATTATTGCTTTTTTAAAACATGCATAAAAAGCATCAAAATAACGGTTATTGATTTTTTCTTTTTTTGATTAGGCGAAAAGAAATTAGCGAAAGTTATTTGTCCTGATAAATGGAAAGAAGGCTCAAGAAATGTTAATGGTATGTTGATCTAACAATAATAACAAGAAGTTAATAAAATGTTTTTGAATTAAACTTAGATAGTTTATTATTATTTATTATAACTGTAGTTGGAACAGATAGAAAATTAAATGAAAATAAATTATTATCTAAACCAGGGAAAAATAGGTTGGTTACATTACTAACTAGTTATTGATGGATTGCTAGTTGGTTGCCCATTAGTTATATTTCTTTAATACGTTAATAAAAACTTTAATTGTGCCCATCAGGTTTAAACCATATGAAAATAAATGTAAAGTTTGTAAGTCAAGGGTACATCAAGAGCATGCACATTATTGTCAAGGTAAATAAATAACAAGATCAATAATATAAAATCAATATTAAGCAATAAGATTCTTTATTAACATTGGTTTTTTTTTAAAAAAAATGTTATAGGATGTGCTTATAAACAAGGAATATGTGCAATGTGTGGTAAACAAATTCTTGATACGTCAATGTATAAACAAAGTGCTAAATAATGAATGATGATTAAATAAAAAATTGAAATCAATACACTCATTTATTAGTTGATTGAAAAGATTTTGTTAGTTAGGTATTACATGTATTATTTTTATTATTTAAATCCTTTTAAAAAAAAAAACTAATTAAATATTTAATCAATGTCATGTATTAGGTAGGGATTATATCAATATAATTAGAAACAATAAATTATTTAATAAACATAATAAGTGGATATGCAAATTAGCAAATTTCTTCTTTCATAATAATCGCATTAACTCCTTCTTGGACCATTTTAAGACAAATTCTTAAACCATCTTTACTTAAAAAACAAAAACAAAAACAAAAATCATAATTATATTCAAAGCATTGGAAAAAAAGGGAATGTTAAACCTGTAATAATAATTTCCTTCTTTTAATAATTTATTTGAGGATGATTTTCTTTATTAGCAGCAGTCAATTCTTTTAACTTTAATATGATTTTTTTCCCTTTTCAATAAAAAAATAATTTTCAGTTGTCTTTTGTATAACTTCATCTGGTAAAATCAATCAATTTTAATTGAGAAAACAAATTAATCAATTAATAGAATAAAAAATGGAAATGAGAACCATAATCATTCCTTTCATCCTTGATTTTATGTAAATGTCTTGTTCCAAATTTTTCATTGCCAATCTATCAATTTTGCATATCTACAATTAATCATATAATAATAAATATTAAATGTAAATCAATACATTTGGATAAATAGTTGGACGTCTTGTAAGTTCATGAAAATGTGTTGCAAGGAATATGGATGTTAAATATATCATTTTATTATTATTATTAAATTCATTTATAAATCTACCATAGTCTCACATATAACATATATATACCTAATCCATCATGTGTAATGTTCCTATTTAAGGGAGGCATTCATTTTACCGACAATCATTTTACCGACAGTTCATTTTACCGACAACACACGGTGCGCCATTTAACCTCCACATATCAAACAACAAATAAAATGCTAAAATGGCGCGCCGTGTGTTGTCGGTAAAATGACTGTCGGTAAAATGATTGTCGGTAAAGTAATACGTACCCTAAAAATCATTATTTTTTAAAAATTTTATCAAGTAAAAATAAGAGATAAAGATAAAGAATATTGGTTCGAGATTTTTAGGAGTTTCAAACAGTTTAGGAATTCGGGCTCATTTTCTAAACCAGTTTATAATGGTTTTAATTTCGAATAATTCTAATGAGTTTCAGAAGGCAACTTTCAATTCTTGGTTGAAAATTCAGTGGGTGTAACATTACACGCCAATCAAAATTTTAATTTTTGGAGATAGTTTCTAAATTTGTACCAGTTACACAACGAAATTTCATCACATTACATTGTACAATGTTCACTTTGTCCCATATATATGAGTATATTTATAATAGGAAAAGGAAAAGAAAAGATGGAAAGAAAAGATGGAAATAAAAAGAAAATAAGTTCAGTAATCACTTTAAGAGCATAACAATGTTGATTTTGAATACCAAGTATACTTTTTGATAAATACATCTTCATTTATAACTTAATTGACGATCCGTCTATGAATGAAAGAACCGGCTGCGGAAACACTAATTTTTGCATCCAAGAGAAAAAGATCTGAGGTTTTTTCCCATCCGTTGCACACATAAAAAAGTTACGTATAACTTTTCATGCAAAGGTGGTCTCTCTGATTACTATATATGATCATCTTATTCATAGATGACGGATTATCAATTATGGATTATTCCTAAATTTGTAATCCTGGGTCATTTCAAAAGCTAATTATTTTTTTAAATTGTAAAGAATTTTGCATCTTTTAACAATTTAACCAGTGTCTCAGTAGGACTCGGATTATTATAATTGAGGCAATATCCGGTTGGGTATGGCAGAAAATTTTTTATTACAAGTCATATCCAAAGCAATTTTTCATGAAATTATGGGGTAAAGCAAAAAATAGTCAAGGGTTAAAATTGTGTCCTTTTTCATTTTTAAGTAAACTTTCTAAGGACCCTGCTTATTACTAATACAAAATTATTGAGAAAAAAATTTTTTTTTTTTTGATAAAAATATATTTTTCAATGTCATATGTGCAAAGCTTAATTTTTTTTTTTTGAAAGAAGAGTGCTAGGGTAAAAAATTACTATGTTACCTCATTCAGGTCCCGAAATAAAAAATAAATCAGAACAATATAAAGATATTTATTTTTTATAATCATAAATACCTGATTGAATTGAGAAAAATGTCTCCTATTAAAAAAACAATCAGTTATCATTATACATCTTAAAATCTCCCTTTATTTTTATTAATGACTCATTATTTGTATGTTTAGAATATATGATTTAATTGTTTTCAAAGAATCCAAGCAAATGACGATATTTAAATAATTAAATGATTGAATAAATATATATATTTGAATAGAAAAGAAATACAAATAGCAATCAAGTGATTACAAACCGGTTAAAGTACCTATTGAATTATAACCTTAGTATGATCATCGTCATTTGTACAATCAAAACACTTGCATAATTATAGAATTAATTAGTATTTTATTAATCATTTCAGTAATATGCGCAGCAATTGAGTCTAATTAATATTGTTGATATTGATATTATTTATAATTTTTATTTTTTTAATGATAATGTAGGTTTTCTCTGCTTCAACCAATTCTATTACTATGTTGTCAGAAAAGTATATATATATTATTAATTACTAATAATAATATTGTTTGATTTGGTCAGTTTGTGTTGGGGCTAATTTGTCATTCAACTTTTGTTCGCTCAAATACAATAAAGGAGGTATAAGCCACAACAGAATTAAGAAAAGCAATCTGAATTTAATGTAAAAAACATTTTTCTTGGCTTGAGAACAAAAGCTTTGACTTGATAAACCCATATCAAATCAACATTTACCTTATTGCGAAAGGAAGGGGGTTAATAAAGTTTAATTCCAAAAAAAATTTATAATCATCCGGAAAATTATAGAAATTTCCTTTTTTTTTCCACGATATGCATCATATAAAAACTATTTATAAAAACCATTTATAAAAACCATTTATTTATATATTATATATTAATACATATATATTATATATGTATATGTTTTATTATATGTATATAATTATTTATTATCTATAATAAAATTGAAAATATATTACAAATTAAAATAAATATAACTAATATTAACTATATAATTATATTTATTTATAACAATAATTACACATTCGTCTTTAAATCTTCTATAATAATAATAATTGTGCCTCATCTCATATGTAATCACTTCTTGATCTTCTTCCATTTCCTGCTGTTGGTCTCCTCAACGTTGTCATAAAATAATCATCATTACTAACATAGTTGTGATTTGCAATTTTATTATTATTATTATTATTATCAATGTCTCTTAATTTAGTAGATAATTTTACATGTTGTTTTGTATTATTTTTATGATGTGGATGATTAATTTTATATTTCTTTCCTGATGTTTTACTAATGCCATTTACTCCAATACCAGCAGAGTTATTAATATGATGCAAATGATGTGAATGCGAACGTGAATGTTGACTATTTATATTATGATTCTTAATATTTACACAATTGTAATTATGTTGTTGTTGTTGTTGATTATGTTCTAATAATAATTTCTTGATACTCCACCCGACAAAATCGAAAGCAACACCTCCGGAAAACTCCACTGCTAAAAATCCAAGCCTAATTGCTATTACAATAATTGCCAACGCTGAAGTTACTATTGCAATCGAAGAAAAGAA